CGTAGTCCCATTTATTAAAATCTTAATTTTTTTTTCTTAGGAGAACTGAGGCTCAAGGAAATCAACAGGTTTGTCCACTCTTCTCTGAGTGCTCTCATCTGCCTATAATATTGAAATTTCATAAAACATTGGGTTAGGGTGGATCTTGGTAGAAATCCAGTCCCAAGGTATCCTTGCCAGCTGCTGACAATGCCCGGATGGTGTTTATCCTCAGGTGTGTTAGACACTTTCTGGCAATGAGATACTATTCCTAAAGGAAACCAATACCATTGGAGATACAGTGTTTGTTTTGTTTGAGTTTTTGTTGTTGTTGTTGTTCTTCTTCTTCAGACAGGGTTTCACTATGTAGTTTAAACTGGCCTTGAACTCACAGTTGTCCAGGCTGGCTTCGAACTTGTGGTAATCCTCCTGCCTCAGCCTCCTGAGTGCTGAGATTACAGATGTATGTCACCATGTGTGGTCAGAAAAAATTATTTTAAAAAACATTTTAAGTGTTAATTCTTTAGCATTTTGAGCCAAAATTTGTTGCCCCCCTCTTTTTCATAATTATTTCCTTAAAGTTGAGAGCCCAGGGCTGGGGATTTAGCTCAGTGGCAAAAGCGCCTGTCTGGCAAGCGCAAGGTCGTGAGTTCGGTTCCTGGTACCGGAGAAAAACTAAAAAAAAATAAATAAATAAAAAGTTGAGAGCCCAAATAGATCCTGAGCAGTCTCTTTGTACCACTCTGCAAATTCACTTCCTGTTATCCCAGACCAAGACAGTAATCACCATAGAATTCCACTTCCTAGTTTATAAAATATAGGAAAACATTAGTTTCTTGGAGATTTAGTTAAATTAGAAACTTAGACCCTGTACATTCAAAGACATCTACCTGTAGCTCATGCTGGGATTTTTTTTTTTTTTGGTACTGGGAATCAAACAGGACCTTCCACTTGCCAGGCAGGTGCTGTACAGAGCTTTATCCCCGACCCTGGGATATGTTTAAGAAAATAATATAAGATTAACCCTTGGTAGTCACTGTACTAAGTATAAGAAGTTCTAGTTCTAAAATGTCCAAAATTTCTTCATGATGCTTTTACAGCAGCTAATATAACCTTTTGTGTGTCAAGATGATTCATATAATGTCTTAGGGAAATTTTTGCACTCTCTTATCCTTAGAAGTAAGGTTCGTTGGGGCTGGGGATTTAGTTCAGTGGCAAAGCACCTGCCTGGCAAGTGCAAGGTCATGAGTTTGATTCCTGGTACCGGAAGAAAAGCAAAAAACAAAACAAAACAAAAAAAGAAGTAAGGATCATGCAAGGCTTTACGGAATGGTAAATCTTAGCTAAGAACTGGAGACATAGGGTCCCTGGGGGGACAGAACAGCATATCAGTATTTTAACAACAGTTATCAACTTGTGAAATCAGCTATTCGTGAGACAGGAACCTCCTTTGGTCCAGTAGGAACTAAAAACTGTGATCTTTTCCTGAATGGAACTTGATGGTTGTAGAAATAAAATATATTTTATTTTTTAAACCCAAGTATTTCCTTTTGTCTCAAATTGAAATAGCAGGGGATACGATGTTTAATTACTGTGTACTAACCATTACAGAAGCTGGCACTGCTCAGAGTGGGAGGAAAAGCCTTATCAGAAAAGGCTTATCAGAAAGCATGAAATAACGAAATGGCAGGATTTGTTCTCTTTCCTCATGACCACACCCGGTTTGCCCCAGGTGTTTTATTTTTTTATTTTAATTTTTTTTGCGGTACCGGGGATTGATCTCACGACCTTGCACTCCAGCTGTAAGGCAGGCGCTTACACCACTGAGCTATATCCCCAGCCTCTCTTTCCTCGTGTGACTGATAAAAAAAGCAG